CTGGCTGTGACCGTGTTCTCAACACTCCTCTCCCCATTGCTTACACCATTGCTATCAGCCAGATCACCTTCGTCTATGTCTTTGTCCTTCCCTTCCAGCTCGTCGATAAGCTCCAGTATATCACGATTCCGGCTTCTGTTGTCGCCGCCTATATCATTTTCGGACTTCTATTCATCGGCCAGGAAATCGAGAACCCCTTTGGACACGACGTCAACGATCTTCCTCTCGAGGTCTACTGCGATCAGATTGCGGCTGATATGGATATCATTGCGTCTCATGATAAGCGCGAGCCGGATTCATTCCTCCTCAGCCACAACAGCATGCCTCTCTACCCTGTCAGCACTGCCTCTTCCAACGCATGGATGAAGCGAAGTGATGAGAAGCTTCGCCAGACCATTAGGGACAAGCCCAACACAATGTTCGAGTGGCGCAAGGAGATTGCTCGCAAGAAGTTGAACGGCGGCAAGTTTGGCACCAACGATATGAAGATGAACCCTGGCGACCATAACGTCTAGATCTTTCCTTGTTATACCCCTCTAATGCATGTTGTATGGACTTCTCGAGGGAGTTGTCTGACAACTACGGCGCATCAAAATAAGCTATGTCTAGTTTCGGTTCTTTATTAATTTGGTTGGTTTGCTCTGAAGGACCTCAGAGGGGTTGCTTCATATTGAGTGTGAAAAGGTTTGGCAAATATCACTGGGTGTTTTAAATGGTCAGCAATAGCGTTTTAGTCTGTTCAATCTTCAATACAAATTGAATCAAGAATTGGGTTTGTCTATGAATCTGTATTTGGCTGTGACTTGATATGAAGCCTGAAGTTGAATATAATCATTATCTTATCATGGCCTGACCTGACATGGATGGAGGGGTAAAATCGGAGCGGAATTTCAGGGCAACCGTGCCCCGCGATTTCAAGCTCTGCATCCGTCCCCGGCGAATGATGACTCGCAGGAAAGAAGTGAAAGAGTCAAAGCCATCCATTTTTTTGTGTTAACCCTTGAGCCCACTTGACTCACACTCGCTCGCTCGGAATCGCCATTGATGCTCGCGCGGCGCTTCACTTCCTCCACCTTCTTCTCTTCTTCTACTTCTTGTTATCTTGTGACATCCTCTTTGCCATTGCGACAAGCTTTTGTCCAGACTCGTACCCTTTCTCTACTCTCGACTCATCAGTCCCCGCGACAACAGACATTGCATCGCGACTACAAGTACCCCTCCTCCATCAAACATATTCGCATCATGGCGACAGACGCCAACGCTCTCGCCGACCAGCTCCAGCAGCTTGGCCTCGACAACATCGAGACTTCTTTCCCTGGATGTCATCCTGATACCAACCCAGTCGATATCTACCGTTCACACATCACAAGTCTGTTGGCGCCTATTACTGGTGTCGATCCTAAGATTATCTACCCCGCCATCCAGTGGACTCAGACTCTCGACAAGGGAGATGCTATTCTTGCTGTTCCCGCCCTCCGAGTGAAAGGCAAGAAGCCTCAAGAGCTTGCTGAGGAATGGGTTGCTCAGGTGAGTCGCATAAAATAGCAATTGCTGAATTATAGCTAACATGCTCAAGTTCCCCGAGTCTCCTCTTATTGAGAAGCCTACCGCTGCTGGTCCCTTCATCTCCTTCTTCTTCAAGCCCAACAAGCTTACCAGCATGCTCCTCCCTACGATTCGAAAGCGCGCCAACAACTACGGCAAGAACCCTTACAACGGTCTCCGAGACCCCAACGACCCCAACTCTGAAAGGAAGCGAATGATTGTCGAGTTCTCTTCACCCAACATTGCCAAGCCTTTCCACGCTGGCCATCTCCGAAGTACCATCATTGGTGGTTTCCTCGCTTCTTTGTACGAGAGTGCTGGATGGGAGGTTACCCGAATGAACTACCTTGGTGACTGGGGTAAGCAGTATGGTCTGTTGGCTTTGGCTTGGGAGAAGTGGGGTGACGAGGAAGCCCTCAAGGCTGACCCTATTAACCACCTCTTCAATCTCTATGTCCGAATTAACCAGGATATGTCTGCCGAGAAGGAGGAGATTGCGGCCAAGAAGGCTGCTGGTGAGGACATCACCTCGCTTGAGGAGAAGTCCCTGGACGAACAAGCCCGAAAGTATTTCCGACGAATGACAGATGGTGACAAGGAGGCCGTCGAGCTCTGGCGACGATTCCGAGATCTCAGCATTACTCGATACAAGAAGACCTATGCCCGACTCAACATTGAGTACGATGAGTACTCAGGAGAGTCTCAGGTCCCTGAGGAGGACATGGAGAAGGCCGCCAAGGTCCTCTCTGAGAAGGGCCTCACCGAGGACGCTAACGGTGCTATCCTCATTGACTTCTCCAAGCACGTCCCTGGCAAGCCTGGCAAGAGTCTCGAGAAGGTCATTCTCCGAAAGAAGGACGGCACTGCTCTGTACCTCACCCGAGATATCAGCGAGCTTCTCAACCGACATGAAAAGTACAACTTTGACCACATGATCTACGTCGTTGCTTCTCAACAGGATCTCCACTTGAAGCAACTCTTCAAGACCATTGAGCTTATGGGCCACGAGGATATTGCTAAGAAGTGCCAGCATATCAACTTCGGTATGGTCCTTGGCATGAGCACCCGAAAGGGTACTGTCAAGTTCCTCGACGACATTCTCCGTGATGTTGCCGACAAGATGCACGAGGTCATGAAGAAGAACGAGACCAAGTACTCTCAGGTCCAGAACCCTGAGGCTGTTGCCGATATCCTTGGTATCAGCAGTGTTATGGTCCAGGATATGTCCGGAAAGCGGTATGTATCCCGAACTCATTGGAGACTTTGTTACTAACGACACTAGAATCAACAACTACAAGTTCGACATGGACGTCATGACCTCTTTCGAGGGTGATACTGGTCCTTACCTCCAGTATGCTCATGCCCGTCTGTGCTCTATTCGCCGACGAGTCGGTCTCTCCGATGAGGAGCTGGCCACTGCCAACTACGATCTTCTGACTGAGAAGCACGCTACCGACCTCGTCCGACTTCTTAGCCAGTGGCCCGACGTTGTCCAGAACACTCTCAAGACCCTTGAGCCCACCACCATCTTGACATACCTGTTCAAGATGACACACGTTCTCAGCTCCAGCTACGATCACCTCCGAATTGTCGGCAGCGAGGCCGAGCTCCAGAAGGCTCGTATGGCTCTGTACGATGCTGCCCGAATTGTCCTCCACAATGGCATGAGTCTGCTTGGTCTTACACCTGTTGAGCGGTATGTTTCCTAAGATGCTGATTTATGAGTAATTGCTAATGATGTGTAGAATGTAAGCTATGAGTCTGAACGAGAATTTGTAAAAGAAATGGGACATGGATTTAAAGAGGGGCAATGAATGATGGGCGTCGAGTCTTATCTCGACTGATGGCGCATTAGACGAGACTATGAAAAGTTTTAATATACCCATTCAACTTATCTTCCTGATGCTTCTGATCATTGCTGTTCCACAGCGCCTAGCCTGACTTGAAGTGAAATATTTGTCCAGCTCAACTGCTGGGCAGAGTAATTTGACAGATTGCACCCACCAGGCTCAAGGGTCGCCCCCAAAGCACAAATGCGGAGGAGTCATGGACTCGTCCGCAACGATGAGTCTTGTGATTATCCAGAGTATTCTTTGAAAATGGTAGGCTTATCGGCCTGAGTCACATACTCAGCCACTTCATCGAGTCTGTCCAACTTGAGAGCGAAATCGGACAAGGCATGTGACGCAGATACAGGACTCAAATTGCCATCAAGCGGCCACAGTTTTGATGATGAATGATATTTTTATGTTTTGCCCCGTAGCTGAGATTTTCGGCCGTGATTCCCATGCATTGTTCCTTTGTTTCTATATAATACAGCAGCCTGTTAATTTAAGGCTCAATTGACCCATTCACTGTTGAGCCGCAACAGAATCTGAATCTTGCGCGATTGCAAATCGTTATGTCTTCCCATTCGTGACGTCCTGACCTCTAGCAACCTTCATAGTCGTACAATCATCCCATGTTGACTCTCCGCCAATTTTCGCCGTCGTATACATAAAGATATGTTTGCTCTGTAACCCAATCGCCCTCAAGCAGAAGGGACCTTGGTCCTGATCTGAACGCCGTGCCAACCCTTGACAAGATCACCAAGAGCAGTATTCACCATGCGCTGCTGCTTGAGAATTGTCTGGCCCTTGAAAGCGGGAGATGTGATATCGATGGCGTACATGCTCCCACAACCGCCAGAGACATCTTGGACAAGTAGTTCGGTGGGCTGAAGCTTCTCGGAGAGTATTTCGGCGATGGCAGATTCAGCGGGGCTCATGGAAGGCAGATCGGGCTCTTCCTCAATGGCAGCGGAGAATCGAGTCGAAGAAGTCGAGAGAAGTCTTCGGGGCGTCGATGTAGGTATTTGTGTTGTAATGCGGGTGATGGTCGTGGGGGCGCGGACGAGGGTACGCAGAGGAAGACGGGTAGAGCGCATTGCTGCGCGGCGACAGGTATTGCAGATCATTGTGATAAGGTGTAATTGAGTCAATTGGCTTTTGCTGTAGAAGAGGTGAAGGAAGTTAATGACGATGGTGGAGTTTGAGTCTGGACCGAAAGATGGGATTACCTAATTGGGATACATGGAGAAGGAAAAATGTGGAGGGGTTTGTAATCGAGCGATGACGGTTTGTGGGCGTGGGTCGAAATGGAGATGAATACTGTTGTTTTATTGCTTCAATTGATCTACACTCATTAATAGAGTACAGTACTCCCTAGTATACCTCTGAGAGGTCTCTTCACTGAAGGATTGAGTGCCGAAGAGTCATTACCGAGTTCGTGTTAGAGACACAAGCCTGGTGGGACCGGAAAACTATTGCTGCTGTACGACGCCTTTTCAGACAATTCTTTTTTCCCAACCAATTCGACTCATTCTCCAGCGCATTTTATCCAATACCCCAGTCCATCATCTCACCTGAGCTGAGCCCGTCTCATCTCAGCTGGAAAAAGCTCACACCTAACCCATCATGCCACGCAAGGTATAATATCCCCCCCTTACTCCCGTATATCCGTTAATACTAAGCCCGAATAGACTCGAACCCCCGAGTCTCTCGCTCTCAACCGCGAGAACCAGCGTCGCTCTCGCGCAAGACAGCGTGAATTGCTCGACGATCTGCAGAATCGCGTGCGTGAGTTTGAGCGTCGCGATGGCCAGGCTACGCTGGAGATGCAGCGTGTTGCGAGAGCCGTTGCGGGTGAGAATGCGGCGCTGAGAGGTTTGCTTGCTGCCAAGGGCGTGTCGGCTGAGGAGGTTGAGGCTCATGTTGAGGCTGTTAGGCATGAAGAGAAGATGGTTGCCAGAGCGGGCGTGGCGACTGTTACGCCTGTCTCAACACCGTCTTCTAATGCTTCGCCTGTTGTTATTGCCTCAAGACCTACGCCGTGCTCACAGCCTCAAGGATGTGGTCCGGTGAGGGAGAACAGTAACCCTCCGTTTGCGATTCAGCCCAAGATGTACTCGCCGCCAACACCTGCTACGACTGCTGCTTCTTGCACAGAAGAATCAGGCTGCTGTCCTAGACCAAAACCCGCTTCACAGCCACAACAGTCTGTACCTCAACCAAGATCTCTTGACAAAATTCACTGCATGGAAGCTGCTACTATCCTCGCTCAAATCCGAGGCCAATCAGACATATCTCAAGCTCGGGCTGCTCTTGGATGTGCCGAAGGCGAAACCTGTATGGTCCGCAACGCGGATTTGCTCAATTTGATGGATGAGATGACCTGATACTATGTTTTGCTACATATCCCACAACTCAGTTCTTCCAGTTCCATCTATCAGAAACCCACCGAAGGAGATACACCAAACCCAAAAGCACCGGGACCTCTATCAGCGGGCCAACTGTCGCTGCAAGCGCTTGGTCGCTACTAGGTCCGAATGTGGTAATAGCCACTGCTATGGCAAGCTCGAAATTGTTACTTGCCGCAGTGAAACTCTGCGTTGTAGAGAGAGGGTATCCAAAACCAGCATGTCGAGATACCAGAAGTGTTGCGAAGAAGATTATGACAAAGTAGACGATGAGGGGTGCGGCGACACGTACTACAGACACGATCTGATGGACCACTTGATGGCCTTGTGAAGCGAAGAGGATGAGGATGGTGTAAAGAAGGCCGATGAGGGACCAGGGGGAGACGATGCGCAAAAAGACACGCTCGTACCACTCTGGTCCAGCCATTCTGCGTAGGAAGAAGCGAGTGATGATAGCTGCGCCGAGGGGAATGCCGAGAAAGACTGCTACGCTGGTTGCAACGGTTGAGTACGACACCTCAAGAGCCCCCTCCTCCCCACTGATCACCGAGATAAAGAATACAGACATTGGCGCGTACAGAGCCATCTGCAGGATCGAGTTGATGGCCACAAGGATAGCGCAGTATTCGGCGTCACCGCCCGCAAGACCGTTCCAGATCAGCACCATGGCGATGCAGCGTGCGAGGCCTACGAGGATAAGACCGATGCGAAGTTCGGGTTTGTCTGGGAGGAAGGCCCATGCCAGGCCGAGCTATCATCGTCAGAATACTGTATGTTTGATGAAATGGGGCTGTGGATTACCATCAAGAAGGGTGCAACTATCCAGTTGATGAAGATGCTAAAGAGGATTTGCTTCCACACGTCGCGCTGGGAGAAAATCTCGTGAAGACTCTCGTATCGGACCTTGCAGAGGATGGGATACATCATAACGAGCAGGCCAACAGCTAGCACATCTGATCAGTATACTTGTATCACCGGATAAGCTGTTTATATACCTATTGGAACAGAAACGCCAACAAATTTGCCCTTCTCAAGAGCCGGTCCAGTTGAGAGGACAAAGTTGCCCAAGATAATACCGACTACCATGGCGAGGAAGATCCATACTGCTAAAAAACGATCGAGCCAGCCAAGGGATTTGAAAGCCGAGACGTTTCCCTTCTCTTTGGGTTCTTCGGATGGTTGTATATTGCGCTCGATATCGTGAGTAGAGGCTTGCTCTTTTGTATGAGGATCTGGTTCCGGCATATTGTCTTCGTTGGTCAATACCAATATGATGTTGGTCAAGTTTTAAGCTTGATCTTGCATTAGAATAAGGGAGACGAGTATAACTTCATTTATGATTCACTGGGGCAGCAATGTCGCATTTCTCATTTTCTGATCCAACCTTTTTGAACATTTCACAACTCGGGATGGTGTAATGGACCAATCATAGATGGGGCATGACACAGTCCCTCCGGAGACGGCGCCCGAGGCACGGAGCTTGTTCTCGGCGTAGCCACACCACAACGGGATTATCTTATATGCCGGATCTACATACTTGCGATAAGACTCAAATGCCGATGGTGAGTTTTGCTGGTACGTGTAGGTGCTCACTATAGTTTGGTTAAAGATGATTGTTCAAGTGCATCACCCTTCTCAGCAACTTTGGTCATGGCCTTCTGGGTGGTTGGTAGCGATATCGGTAAACTAGCCAAGCTTTTGTTGGAAGTTGTGTTGTGCAGAATCGGGCGTTGAGGTTGAATCGGTATTGTGTTACTACACGCGGGAACAATCACGAGCAACGGCGTCACACAACGAGTCTACCGTTCAACGGGGATACAAAACGTGGTGTATGTACCCGTTGCATTCTCAACGCCGCCGTATAACGGTGGAAGATAACAAGGAAGCACTAATTCACAGCATGCGAAAAGAATCAAGTTGCCACATCATGATCAATCAATCACCTCATGTACGCCCCATCTTCAAAAATCTAAAATCAAGAATATTTTCTCTATTTTATTTTAGAAACGTCTCCCGCCCTGCATATGCGCATGCATGCATGCACAAGGTGTCGTGGGCCCAATTGGCTACGTGTATCCAAGCAAAGACTAGTGCACGTTTCTTTTTATGTACCGCAAATACGAGGTTCAGCTTGGTACGACACGGGAAGTGCTGCATAAGTCTTGCATAGCGGGATGGATTCCGTGAAGAGTGTTATCTGATGCATGATTTCACCAAGGAAACATCGCCGGCAGCGGGCTAGGCAGTAGAAACAAAGCTGTGGTAAGGTAGCATTTGTTTCTCCTGACGATCGTGGGGCAGATTAAGATGTGCAAGAAGGATCAAGAGGATCGGATGACGATGTTTGATTGAGTTTCAAGTGACGGAACTTACATAGTAGTATTCGCTTTGAGTCAGAGTTAAAAGGCTGGTGGTTGACGGTTGGTGGTTAAGTTGTTATACCACCGCAAACTTGCATACAACTAGACCATTTTCAACCATGAATTTTGTCTTGATTTGTCTCGACTGCATGTACGCGCAATCGTCTCATGCGGCTCTATCATAGATGACTTCTATGTTTAGCGACATGGGGACCCAGTTTCATCATCCGTGCAGTGCCTGTCGATCTCATGTTGACAACCCATCCCAACCCAACCCAACCTCCGCCTGCAGATTCTCTCAGCTATGAAGTGATACCGACTCTTTCACTTGCTGCAACTAACCATTTAGTCCATTGGTAGAGAATATCCAACACAATTGTCTCAAATATATCCTCTCTTCTTATTCGTAGGATTGCTCCTTATGGCCTGAAATCTCGTAAAGTCCACTATCCCGCAGAAACCCACTTCTTTCTTTTCTTTCCATGATGGGGGATCAACCCACAGCTTGTGGTCAATAATGGGGCTATGATGATCGTATATAGGATCCCCAGCCAACCTATTTCCAAGGCGGATGTGTTGGGATCAGGTTTTATCTCGTTTAAATCCTCCCTCTCTTCGTTTTCCTTTCCCTTTTCCTTTCTCGTATCTTGGTGATTTTCTTCGTGATTGCGGAGAAACGTGATTCGGTGTATTTCTTTTCATCATGGTGCGATTCAGTATAGTTGCTGCGCTATACGCTGCGGTGGTTAGCGCAGTGGACTTTGATAAGATCGCTGTTGGGAAGGGTCATAGTCGGTTACCGGGTGCTTATATCTTTGAGTTTGAAGAAAATCATGTTCGTATACTCTCATCTCTTACATCTCTTCATAACTAACGGAGCTTAATTAGGACTGTGCCGACTTCTTCGCCAAGGCTTCGGCTCGAGGCAAGACTCGTATGCAGTACAACTACAAGCTGTTCAAGGGAGCTTCGATCCAATTCACCGACATCGACAATGCTGAAGACATAGCTTCCGAGATGGCCTTGTTGCCGGGCATCAAGCAAAAATGGCCTGTTCAGACATTCAGCATCCCCAAGCCAGAGGTTCACTGGACGGGTACACCGGGAATGGAGTACAAGTCTATTCAGAAACGAGGCTTTGAGGAGAGGGATACTGTGAATGATACGTTCTCGCCGCATGTCATGACGCAGATTGATAAGTTGAGGGCAGAGGGTATCACGGGCAAGGGTCTCAAAGTTGCCCTCGTTGACAGTGGTGTAAGTCATCTTCACACTCTCCCTAACACCTAGAGCTAATAATTATACAGGTCGACTATAAACATCCAGCCCTTGGAGGCTGCTTCGGCAAAGACTGTCTCGTCTCCTTCGGCACTGATCTCGTAGGCGACGCATACGACGGCCTCAACAACGCCAAACCCGACAACGACCCCATGGACTGCGCCGGCCACGGCACCCACGTCGCCGGCATTCTCGCCGCCCAAAAGAACACAATGGGCTTCACCGGCGCCGCCCCCGGTGTACAAATAGGAGCCTACCGCGCGTTCGGCTGTAACGGCGAAGCTGGCAACGATGTCCTTATCGCAGCGTTCAACCAGGCGTTTGAAGACGGTGCAGATATCATCTCAGCTTCCATAGGCGGTCCGTCAGGCTGGTCTGAGGAACCGTGGGCGGTGGCTGTTTCGAGAATCGTCGAGCAGGGCGTTCCCTGTGTTCTTGCAGCGGGTAATTCAGGGGCCATGGGGATGTTTTATGCGAGTACGGCTGCGAATGGGAAGAAAGTCACCGCTGTTGGGTCGTTTGACAACACCAAATCTCTTGCGCTCCTGAATGCGTCGAAATACAGCATCGATGGAGGGCCTGAGCATGAGTTTGGGCATTTAAGTGGTAAGCCGAGCGCCTGGAAGGGCGTGAAGCTACCGCTCTGGGCACTCAGCTACGACACTTCTGTCGCTGATGATGGTTGTGATGAGTGGCCTAAGAACACCCCTGATCTCAGCAAGTATATCGTTCTTCTCCGACGAGGTTCGTGTACTTTCGATGCCAAAGCTGCCAATGCAGTCAAAGCTGGTGCAAAGTACATCATGTTCTACAGCAACAAGGAAGACCTCGCTCCTTTCGACGTTTCTTCCGTCGCGGGTATCAAAGCAGCAAGCATTGTATCTCCTGAACAAGGCGCAGACTGGATCGCTTCCCTGAAAGCAAAGAAGAACGTCATTCTCAGCATGTCGGACGGAAGTGACGGCAACGTTATTCTCGAACAAAAGCTCAACAACGCCACAGCCGGTGCAGCCAGTACCTTTTCCTCCTGGGGCCCAACATGGGAAATGGACGTGAAGCCTCAATTCGGAGCCCCAGGCGGTAAAATCCTCTCAACCTACCCCCGAAGCATGGGAAGCTATGCTGTGTTATCAGGTACTTCCATGGCCTCACCACTCGTCGCTGGCATCGTCGCCCTCATCGCAGAAGCCAGGGGCACCCGCGATCCAGCACTCATCGAGAACCTCCTCTCAGCGAGTGCAAACCCGCGATTATTCAATGACGGAAAAACATTTTATGACTTCCTCGCGCCTGTTCCGCAGCAGGGCGGCGGTATCGTGCAGGCTCACGATGCTGCCCACGCAAAGGTTCTTTTATCACGATCGAGTCTTTCGTTCAACGACACGGATCATTTCCCTGAGTCGTTGAACTTTACGGTTAAGAATACGGGCAAGAAGCAGATCGATTTGCGGATTTCTCACGTCCCAGCTGTTACGATGTTTACGCTTGTTGAGAATTACATTTATCCGGATGAATTCCCTAATGACTTTGCCAAAGAGCATGCTAGTCTCAAGTTCAGCGAGTCAAATCTTACTATAGATGCTGGTGAAAGCATCGTCATTGAGGTTCTGGCTACGCCTCCGAAGGGCCTGAACGCAACGCGTTTGCCTGTATGGTCGGGTTATGTGACTATTAACGGCACTGATGGAACATCGCTTTCACTTCCGTACCAAGGCTTGACAGGATCTCTTCACGACTCAGTGGTTCTTGGACCGAAAGATACATGGATCGCAAACTCAACCGACGAGAACCGCTTTCCCATAGCAGACAACACAACATGGACACTCCCCAAGCCCGGCACGGCAAACAACCTCACCGACACACTACCCGGCCTCACATGGTTCCTCGCTCTGGGCTCAGCAAAACTTCACGCTGAGGTCATGCCAGTCACAACCGAAAAACCAACCTCTTCCAAAAAGCCGCGCGTTATCGGAGAGCCAGTTGACTTTCCCGTGCTGTGGAACGCAATGGGTGTTAACTCGCAAGCCTTCACTGGTGAACTTGCGGACGGCACTTTTGCCCCTGCGGGACAGTATGTCGTGAAATACAGAGCGTTGAGAATCTTTGGTGATGAGAAGAAGGAGGAGGATTGGGATGAGGCGTATTCGCCTGTGTTTACGATTCGGTATGAAAAGTAAGAATTGTTTTTTTTGCTTGCAAAGGCATCATGAGTAATTTTCTTTCAGTTTCTTGTACAAAAGCATCAAAGAGGTAATAGGGTTTGGGAATGGTCTTGGGTAAATGGGTATTGGTTAATTATCTGGATAATTAAGGATAGAATAGAGCATAGATCTAGCTGCATATAGACAGCGTAAAGAATGAATTCAGTTTACAATCTTAGACGATATTGGTGACTTGACTTTGTTGTTTCTATGTAATATCATATAAAATTATACCATTAATGTGTTTCTTGAAGAGTGATCGTGCAGTGTTGCAGGTGGGAGATCCATGGAAATGTTCACCACCGACAGGTCAAAGCATATCTGCCTGCACCAATGAGTTGACTCCACATAGAGAAGGTACTTGAGGTATATCCACGACGAACAAATCAAGAAGTTGGACAGATCTAAGAGCTGTTGACTAGATGTGTAAAGTGCCGGGCTGTTAACAAGCTGAGTGTGAGGGGGGTGGCCTTGAGCCGTCAACTCCGAAACCTCAACATCAGGCACCATCACGGCCAACGACGAAATCAGTAACCTCCGACAATGAAAAAAGAAGCCTAGAGGTATCACTGAAGCCTGAAATATGATTCCCAGGCTCTCTCATGCATATGATGGGTACTGAGGAAGAGAGAGACTGTACACAGCCTGGCAATATCCACATGAGGATGTCACCAGGCGTCTACATGGATGCAGAATCTCGCACGCTATCATCTTATGTCTACAAGAGATGATGAAGTATGTATACTCCCGAAATTCATGGCATGTGCTTAGGCATCGGTAAGTGGGAGATGGTCAACTGTGTGCGAGTTTACTGAGGAGGGTCACTAACGTAAGTCAAAGCCGGAGTGACTGCTTCAACCAAAGAAAGATCGTAGTCTAGAACGATATAGAGCAAAATTATTTTATCTAGGTGTAGGTGACCATCTTTGGGACCCTCTGGATTGTCGTTGTGTAGGTCAATGTTGGCGCCAATAACACCTTCACCAACGCATGTGTCTAGTGCAAAGTCGGCAGTTTGTGAAGTGGGCTGGCCTTCATGAACCTTGATAACATTCGAATTTGAGTGCGTAATGATGGCTGTCTCGGAGACTGAAGCCTACGTTTGCGTAGTACGTAGGTATTCAGGTGTCTTCTCCTCACTCGTACAAGTCTCGAAGGTCACTTGTGATGGTACAGCATTGTGGGTCAAAGTATGAGATTCATTTCAAGACTTTGGAGGAGTGGCCGCTATCTCGTATCTTCATATGCAAGCTTTATCTAAATCTTGTGAAACGAAATGATAAGAATTATTATCTGTATCATGCAAGTTGCTGTATGTTCAAGACATCAATGCATGCCCAACCAACGAGATACTATGTCGTATGTCTGGGCATGTCAAACAAGACTGACCATCAACTTATCAACATGAGGGGCTCTAGACCTCATGTCATGGCGTAAGCCACGTGGTGAGATGGAAACGTCAAAGACTGGATCGGATAGATAAAGCTGGTGATACTCGTAGATTAGTATGTGAGTGAAGTAGCAAGGGTTGATAGGCAGCCGCATTCTTTCAATGGAGATCACATGATTAGATCTCATCTCGGGGCGGATTATCAGAGTCCGATAGACAACTAACCAATAGGGGACTTGCTGATCCTTCAGGCAGCAGCATTTCCGATTATGAGACCCTTGGAGAATGACCGCAAATAGGCCGCGCCGCAAGATCCGCTTTGTGTAGGCAACGAAATAAACAGCATCTTTCGTCTCAACAAAATGAATTGATTTGGTTCTGGTCTGGTTTACAGTTTCTTCCAAGATATTGTTTTCCCTTCTCACTCACTGAGTACATGTGACTCTTTTTGAAGTTACTTACTTATTTACTGGCCAAGACCGCCGCCAATGGCTGAGCCTCACTAATTACACCAACTCCAAGACCTGTACCAAGAGCCACGAGCTCCGCCCCGCTTCAGATCGCCATCAAGCATCACAATCAAGACATCACTTTCAGACTTGGCGACTCTTATCATCATAAACAGGCTTTACTTCCCATTCTAGGACTCATATTCAGCATATTCACTGCAGTTCCCTACAATGGAGTCGTTTTTACCGCTGGGAGGCTTTCAGCTGCCCTTTCAGAAACGCCTCAGCAGACTCTACAACGACACTAAGAAGTCAACCGACTTTGTCAAAGAACCAATTCAAAATGAGGAAGATCCAGAAATCAAGGCCCTACATCGAAAACTCCGCATCCAGAAAGATAGGCTCGTGAGTTGGGGGCTCGAGTGGTCTGATCCCACTCAGTCTGTTGAGATCGATGAGTCTCTATCAAAAGCTGGGTTGAGCGAGGTCGTTGGAAGTATCATGTCCACCATCAAGGACATCTTAGCAGAAGCTGAACCTCTTTGGCTAAGCTCAAAGCGCATGATTTCAGCACCTGCTACGTCAAAAGATACGAAGCCGCCGTTGGTTCAATGGGATAAGAACCATTTTGAGGATTTGGTTAATGACCTCACTGCTTCCATTGACACACTCTACGACCTGTCGCGGACACGCGCAGCGGCTGGTGGATTTGCAAGACGATCATCGAAAACACCATTCAAATCTATGTCATCAGCCGAGGAGTACAGACCATTCGAGTCAAGCCGCATGCAAACGCCTCAGCAAATTAACCCTCAGACTCTAACGCATCTACGACCTAAGCAAGGTGATGAGTCTTCTGCTCCCCGAGAAGTGGTGTTCATGAGCAAGACAGCTTATTCAGAACTCACACATGGAACGACTCGTCAACCGTGGGCACCGCTGCTCCTGGAATATGCAACCTTTGACTCGATTTATGCCGTGACGGGCATCATGCCTCCCATGGCTCGCTTCGAGAAGCTATCCGCCGGTCTGCAGCAAGATTCTCAGCGATCGCCTGGTACATGGACTGGACTACCTCGGCTTCTCGGATACTTCGAAGACCTGGAGAACTCAAGACTCGGGCTTGTCTATCGATTTCCTCCCTCATTCAATGCCGTCTCATTCGAGCGTCTCACCAAGAATCCTTCTTATAACCTCCCGACTTTGAACGATCTCCTCTCAGTTCCAGGATCAGAGCCTAAGCTTGAAGCTAAGTTCAGACTTGCTCATAATCTCATGAATACTGTTTTCGACCTACATGCTCGCGGCATCACCCATGGCAACATTGCCCCGACCACAGTCTCATTCTGCGATGCAGTCACCTCACAACCGGGTGCGACTAATGGCGAAGTGGACATTCGACGTCCTCTACTTTCTTCCTTCGATCTCTTTCCCGAAGATACCCCCTCAGCATCACCAATTCTGTCCCGCCATCCGCTTGACCCACGCAATCTCCAATCTTCACATCTTGTCAGCAATCCTGACCAGAGAGTTCTCGATCTGTATTCCTTAGCCACTCTGTTACTATCAGTTGGCTTGTGGAAGACACTTGAGGATATTGTCCCCGAGGCATCCACTTCTATCCCTGAGTCAGCCCTGGAAGAGCTCGCTGTTCGATGCGGCAGCTTGTACATGAAGGCAGTTCAGGTTTGTTGGACAGCTGTCGATGACGAGCTTGCTGGGCGATCTTCTGGAGAATCTCTGCTGTCGTCGGTTCAGGTACGATGTAGTCGCTTCTTGGAAGCCTGCTGTATCTTAGATGGCGTCAGTGGGCTAGAGGAGAGGCTCGATCAAGAGCTCAACCCGTCCGAGACACAAGCGCCTGCCGTCGATACAGCCCTAATAAAGACGAACAAGGACGTAAAGGATGTCAAAGACTTCAAGTCATCACTAAAAGCTGCAAGCGAGAAGCCAATGGCAGCATCAGCGCCTAACTTGGGAACAGAAACTAGTGCTCCCAAGTATGAGGCTATCGCTGACCAGGATGGTATGTCGCATTGTTCTCATTCATATGCTTACCCCAATACTGACTTATTCTCAGATGCCCTTGACAAGCAGTCAGAGACAAAGATGCGTTTATATCCTCATGTGCCGCTAGCACCAGAAGTCGTGGAGAAGTGGAACAAGATCCTCATGCCCCAGATCAACCACGCTCTTCGTCACTTTTACCGCAAGCACCCCGAATCGGTCGAGATCTCTCTGGAGTCAGTAGGCCCAAGCCCTCAGAAGACTCAGCCTACTGTCCTTGTTGTGTGTACATCTGTTGGAAAAGTCCGAGCTATCCTTAAGAAGAGGCTAGGTGATCTCTTCGATGGAAGCAATGGCTTCGGGCTCAAGGTTTGCCGTGGACATGTTCTACGATCTCGCCGACAGCCAAACTCCGTCCTGAGATCCATGGCTCGAAGGAGCGCTAAGGGCGCTGGATTGGAATCTGACGATGTTGAGGCCATCAACCCAGAGTATCAAGAGCGTCCAGGCAATGGCGCCAGTATTGGAGCATGGATTGGTGATCGACATCTACCCCCCGTCAGCCTCGGAGGCCTCGTCATGGTTGACGACAAGCCTTACGGAATGACAGTCCACCACATGCTCGATGATCCAGACCGGGACTTTGGGCCTAGTGATACTCTTCGGTGCAGTGCCCTGCCTGATATGGACTGGTACGCGCAATCTGGTGACGACAGCACTGTCGATGATGAGTTTGGCTATGAGCTGTCCGATACTGAATCAGAAGCCTACTCGGATTCTGATATCACCAGTGATTATGAAGACGATGAGGATGAGGATGAAGATGAGGAGTATAATGAGCCTGGAGACATCCCTGGCATTGAACCGGGCTGTGGTGATGGCTACATCGTCACACAGCCGGCTCTCGATGATGTTGAAGAAGGGTTCTACCCTGACCCAGAGACTCAAGACGAGGACCACCTTGACACATACAGTGTTGGGGAGGTGTATGCTTCAAGTGGTATCCGCAGGAAGCAGGCCCTTGGGCTCGTGCATGAGGTTGACTGGGCTCTCTTCGAATTCGCTCACGATAGACTGCCTGATGACAACACCATTCCTCGCATAGATGGCAAGTCGCTCGCACAAAAGTCTGAGGGAAAGCAGACAGCTGGATCGCCTATGTTGCGACCAACCATTGTCGCCCCTTCAGACTCCTTGCCAAACATGGAGGTGCAGTGCATGGCCCGGACAAGCGGCTTGCAGACTGGCAAGATCCTCCCGGCTCTGACAAGCGTTAAGATCTACGGTCGCGTTTCACCAAGCCATGCATACCAAGTCACAAGCGCCGATGCACCAGAAGAGGGGTCTCAGAACAAGAATGTCCCTCTCGGTATCCCTGGTGACAGCGGTGCTTGGATCGTGAGCCGTGACGAGGGTCAGCTTTGCGGACATGTCCTAGCCTGGAGTCAACGTAAGCGTGTTGCGTACATCTGCCCCATGGACGTCCTCCTTTGGGATATCGCAGAGACGTTGGAAGCTCATGAAGTAAAGCTTCCAGGAGGACAGGCCGTGGCTACTTTCAACAGGTCAGAGACTCGCAGCGTCTCTAAGAAGCAAGAGGTATCTAATCTCGAGTTTCATGACGACGATGATCTATCGGACTTGGTTGAAGAGGAGGAAGATCTACCACCCCAACTAGTCACGTCCCCAGATCCAGTTATAGACACACCCAGTATGAGGAAATCACCCGTCTCCAACTGCAGCGGCGTCAGCGACCGGAGCTCCTCAAGCCCCATTCGCCTGGATACATCAAGTGATCTAAGTGGCATCTCGAATCGATTTGAAGAAATGAGTATGAGTGGTAGTTTTGGGATAGGAGTTAGCGGTTGACAACGACAGTAGTCGTATGTTCTTTTTTTCCATGTTTGGCAAGGAAAGTTTGTCTAAAAAATACCCTGTTAGCGTTGGAATATGACGAGAATGAAGACAAGTAGTCCAAAATTGGATATCCATAGTTGCATAAAATAGCAAGAATATCATGCTGCTCTGATATTGTCTCTCTCCCTTTTACATAAAGTCGTCCTCCCAGTTCTCATCGCGGTCCTGGTTACTCGAAGCAGCCATGTTATCCTCCGTGAAGATATCATCGTAGGCATGGTCCTTCTGCCACTTCTTCTCCTTCCACTCCTGAGCCTGTCGAGCCTCCTCCTTCTTCTACAACAACATTAACAAATCTCGCTTCAATGTCCACGGGGGTTTGCTTACCCTGGCCTGGAAAGCTGCCTGGTCACGTTGTCGCAGCTCCTTGAGACGATCATCTCTCTCCTGCTTAAAGTCTGGCTTCTTCTCAACCTTTGTCTTGTTGAGGCGGTTGACGATGGGGTTCTCGCGCTGGGGGACCAGGATGCGCTTCACTTTGCGGGGGTCCTTGAAGCCGACTTGGCCGACCTCCATGCTGCCGTCTTTCTTGAGGTTGGACCATGGTGTGTAGATGACTGTGACGTTGTCTTTCTTGTTGCCTGGGGTGGGATGTCAGATATGCCGTGAGAGGAGATTAGAATGGAGGATAGGTACCCTCAATGGAATTGGCCTTTGTCAACTGGGCGAGGTCCATGACGAGATCTTCAGGGAGAGCGTCCCATGCCTGGCCTTCCTGCATACGTAGGTAGATATGCGCACTGGAGAGTTTATCCGCGTGGAACTACAAACCCAGCATTGTCAGTTTTGCTCTGTTCTCATTGAGCTGTTGCTGGTTATCTCACCCTATATGTTACTTAGCACAAGCCTACTCATTTAATAGAGAGTCCTACCAGATATCCTCTTCCCAGCCGAACTTGATCAGGTCCTCATCTAGCATCAAGTCTCAGCCGGTGGGGAACAGCACAGCGCATTATGATTGTCAGTGGGCATAAGCATACTCTCGAACTTGTCCTTGCCGACATAGATGAACCCTGGAGGATCGACCACGTTGGAGGTGAAGTAATAGACCATCTTGGAGTCTCGAGACGAAATAAAGGGAGTGGAACAAAAGAAATGGAATAGAGAGGCTGAATAAGGCACCGTTAGTGATCTTGTGGAGAGCTGTGTGTTCTGATGAGGGGATCTTGGAGAAATTTCCGTTTGGTGGGGGTACTTGTGTGCTAACAGAAAAGAATATGGTTGCTCGCTAAAACCCCCTAAAACAAGAGGTGATCAGCCCTGCAGGATAACACCAGGGTACCTCTAATTACTGCCAAAGTGGGATCCAGAGTTTGGTTCACGTGACATCGCGACGATATCGTGAAAGGCCTTTTCACATCATTTCCCTTACACACTGTAACCAACACTCCTCCTCTCTTTCACCTGCCATTCGCTTTCTACAGTCATCATCCAAAATACCAAGTTATTATGCAGGCCTTGTCAAATTTGAACAGCTGCTAATACAAAACAAGTGCTGGTCAAGGTAGTCTCACGGCTCAGATCACGGCTAACAAACTGATCATCTGAATCATGATTTACTCTCTCCGGCAGGCATAAAGCCTTTGACCAGGAACTGGAATGAGATTCCTGACGATCTCCCAATACCATGGATTGTGTCGGGCCGGTGCAGCCCCCATGCCCATGGGTAAGAAGAATTAAAGTGACGATATCCACTTATCCCTTTCTCGTAAACAGCCCAACGACCAGGCCATGTCATTATGACTCGTCAAAGCCCACGGCTATCGTAATGCGGTGCCGCTGTCACTTATTTCCCCCTGTTGCTCTCCTAGTTGGCTAAATCAGGCGAGCTGGTCCGGTTTGGCTCATCCCGCAGAGCCCCAAAACAAGGGCCCCGTTTCCAACGTCACGCGGTATTGCAATATCGGTATGTGAGGGAGGCGTGAGGAGCTTGTCTATGCAGCTGAGAACCACTTTGTCTTGATCAGCTACAGATTCTAAGATCTTGTCAAAGATCTCCCTTCATCCTAATCGGTGTCTTCTCAGTCGCCAGTCACTGTTTTTTTGTGTAACACAGCGATAGCTAGGTACGGAGACAAAAGCAACGCTGTTAGTTCGAAACCGCCTGTCTCAGCCTCTTATTTCCTCGAGGTGTCCACTGTCTTATTGGCTGGTTCCAAGATCCATCGTCTCTGTTGTGCCGTCACACCGGTTGAGCGATATTCGGCAGGCATGGATGATCTTGTGCTGTGATTTCTGTCCCTTGAACTCAGATTGGTTCTGTCTCACCACGAATCTTGCTGGATATTGGTCATTTATTTTGCTTTTTCTTCTCTCATATGATCGACGCTGTTATGCTCCGCTCCACCTCTGGATCAGACCCCCAATATTGGAACGGGGTCCCTAGATTTAGTCCGATCTCGTATCTCGGACTCGAGGAATGATGTAAGAGTAAACTTGATAAAGTGTCTTGTGAGTTGACAGTCACTTTAGCCACCGGGAGTCGCCGAGACATTCCGGGTATCGTCATGATTGAACACTAGTATACTGCACAAATGGCCAGATACTTGCATGGCATTCTTACGAAGAATCCAATCTGGGCTCAACAACGACGCACTAGGACAAAAGTGCAGGCGGATAGACCAATGACTGGCATATGGACAGGGGCTTCGGGCATATATCCATCCACAAGGCTGCCAAGCCAAGACCGGAGAGCTAACCCTAGCACATAATGAGCAAGATAAATGAGGTTGTACTCTCTTGGAGTTTCCTCTCTGGGCCTCAAGGTGTCAAATATCAGTGGCTGGCAGTCGAAACATGCATAGACGGTGAACAAGTAGAACGAGGTCCAAGCTCTCTACGACCTTGGCAAACTTGTCAGGCTTGAGCTGCAGCGGATGTCTCACCTTATCACACCTGGGGACTGACAGCATGTTCCTCTCCCGGGCCTCAAGTGTGGCCCTTTTGGCGGGAATACGGGTAGATGCAGGCTTCTTCCGCATCGAGTCATTTTATACCGAATCCTGTCAAGATCAGTGACGTTGCTAGTTGGCGTACGGGGTAGTCTTTGCAGCAGGGCAATGTAAAGTCAGTGCCTACCATATTTACAACGTGAATGTTGGCGCGGTCAGACATCTCATCCGTAGTGTCTTCCTCGATGCCGAAACATAAGAAGTCAAGCTGATAACGTTTTCCGTTTGGCCTTGGCTTCGGGGTCTTGGTTGGCCCCGAGGATCAACTCCGAGCTCTGGGGATTGGTGTTTCGATCTCAGCCACTTTCCATCAGCTAGCATTAGCGTTCGACCATGCCCTGTGGCGTCGTGACCGTTGCTTTTTTGGAATGCGTCCCCTAAAGACTAGAGTAGCGTAGTGTAGTGTAGGTAGCTTGAACTTTTGGTGTGGAGAAGGGCCCCCCTTTAGTCAAAACTTCTGAACAACATCATTCATTCCGTTCCGCGAATGGGACAATATCGCGGAACTTTGGTAAATCTTCAAAGGCTAGATCATGCACGCTCATCTGCAGTCCAGAGCTCTTGAGCCGTCGAGGTTCCATCGACCTTCTAAGCGAGACGTAGTGTATCGCAGCGGGCAGGGTCCGAGCTACTGTATTATGATTTTTGAAATTTCCGCGGCGGTCGCAGACACACAATACTAATGAGCCAGTTCCGCTGGCCCTATAGTTAAGACCAAGATATATATAATACATGTGAAATATCCCCGACTAACCACCGTGGATGTCGCGCCGCAGTTCCTCAAATCCTTGTCGTAACCTGGCATGCAGACTCATGCTCAATCCTCGACACCACTAACAGACTTCTGATTAATTCTGCCTGACAGCATCTGCAAGACGCCTATCAGCAGTCTTACAATCCTAGTTGTTGTGTCTGTCGTTATGCTTTGAATGTTTCTGTCTTGATATTCCCGAGGTTGGTATTATGATTGATGGATATAGACCCCAGCGGACTGGAGAGCCCGGATGATGCTGCGCTCAGCAGAACCTTGACAAGATAAAGTTAGCTGAATTAGATTGCTTTTCTTTGATATGGGACGACTCACCGGCACTTACAGCAGGCACCGCTTCGTTGACGACTGTAACACGGCTGCTTTTGACGTGCGCTTGAAAATCATAACCGTCTGGGTTGTCGTAGGCAACCTTGTAAACGTCGACTCTGATCTTATAAGCGCCTTCAGCTAGAATGGCAAGATCTGTGTACGGGAAATGGATTGTTGTTCTCGAGGCGCCAGCTGTGGTTACATCGACGCCGTTCACCGAAGTGGTACCTGACAAGCCTCCCTCGACAATATTCCCTTCTCTCGTAAGTAGAAAGACCATGGCGAAGAAATAGTGGCCAGTCACGGCCCCTCTGAAGTTTAGTTCTGCAACAAGAGATGGATGCAAGGTGGTCGAGACCTGGGCCCGAGCAGGAGGTTGAACAACAATACTAAAGGCTGTCATATTGTTTTTGGTTGCAAAGTATTGAATGATTTGCTTGATGTAATCTCATACATGGCACTAAGATGCCGCTCTCAAAACTGACCCAAAAGAGGTTTTATAGCATATCTGGTTAACACAGTGTCGAAGATGGCTATCAAATATCCCTATCCGAGATGTTCATCGGATGTTTCAATCCCAAAGATAGCCCAACAACCTGCCTGTCAGAGAAATCTTCTGCGTCAGGTATGGTGAAGTGAATGTGATGATGGAGTGAGGTCACGATAAAATCTTCTGCGTCAGGTATGGTGAAGTGAATGTGATGATGGAGTGAGGTCACGATACTTGGATGGCGAACAGAGTAACACAGCTCCTTTCTGTCGACTGTCGTTTTATGATCATATATGACGGGAGAGAGGCCGACTGGCAGGATATTGTCCGGCAGATGAAATTACAGGCTTGTATCGGGAGATGCCGTCAGATCAATACTTGATTCTCTCGGGGGATGTTTGAGGCAAGGCAAGGTATAAAGAGCAAGGAGGGTTGGCTGATGGGATGTGATGGATGTGATATTGAAGGAAGGCAACAACAGGCGAGGCAAAAGAAATGAGGCAATAACCAGCCAGCCACAGACAGGCAGGTGTGATTGTGACTCGGGAATAGGTATCGATCAAGGTGTGCAGTACAATAAAATGTCTGAGGCCGGCAGTTGTCGATAACTAAAGTACATGCAGGCAGATTGTCACTGACGGAGAAGACTCGATGCCCGATCCCTGCACTTGACCTCACCTCATCTCACGATCCCTGCGGGCATATCATATCTAAGTGCAAGCAAGGTGCAGGGTCTGAGGGTGCTAGGACTGCATGGATTAGCGTGGCATGAAATGGCGGCGTCAAGCACAAACAAGGAATCTTCCATTTGCGTTTGTTACCTAGCTAGCTCCAACGGCGCCTCCAAGTCCAAACAACGTCAGCCCGATGTGTCGGGTTTACGGCCAGGCCCGGCCAAGCCAAGCCGACAACCGAACAAGAGAAGATGCAGGGTATGTATCGCTGGCGTAGAATCTGGCGGCAAACGGTACTAGACTTGGCATGTTTATGCGGGCGAGCTACGTCGTAGTTCCAGGGCTGTGACGAAACTGCAAGCTTGGAGCCTCGACAAGACTTGAACTCTATAGCCGTGGCTGAGGGCCGATCTCGTCAACTGGATCCGAGACTGTGGGATGGACAAGACCCGGTTCTGATCAGTAATCATCGATCGTTTATTTCTTTTTCCACTTCCTTTTTCTCCTCCAGTATCGCTCTTGGCGTGATTCAGAGTGGGTCGAGATCCTAGACATGCACCTGATGCTTTGGTACCTACATAACATCAGGGCACTTCATCTAGGGTCCAGTCCAGAGTTTCAAGCCACGTGCCCTAGTTCCCACAGGACAAGGAAACTAGGAAAAGGCTGAAACATGTTTGGCTCGATGCCGAGAAGAGTCCTCGACTCTACACATCGGAGACTTGCGGTTGATGGCTGTGACGTCTGCCCATATCTTGATACCGTGACAGATGCCGGCTACATCTCATGCCGATGTTACAAAAAGCAACGATACCCTCAGCTGAGCTTCAAGCGTACATTATCTGCGTTAACCGCTGTCTTGAACTGCACATTCATGTATGTACTCGGACCAAAAAAACAAGGTGAAGAGAAGAGAGAAGCAAAGGTCACGCTACCTCCAGCGGCTGAACCGCGAGGCTTCACTTACAGTGAACGAGCGGCCGACCGGACCTGCACTTCGGCCCAGCGGTAGGTTACTTTACCAAGCCCCAAAAAGGGCATCTACAGCAGTCTTGAACGCTCCCCAACCTCAAAGATGAAGATGATGACACTGCATAAATGCATTTCGGGGTCTGGCTCAGGGGCAAACATTGAGCTATGACCAGGATCTACAGCACCGGCAGTGCTATCCGGGAATAACTACAGGGGAACCCTCAGTAGAAGTTTTAGAAGGCTTAGTGATCTGGTCAGCTGCTAGCGTAAAAGTTTGTCCGCGGGGAATTTCCATGGTTGGTGAGACAACGATCTTCAGCAAGGGACGCAGAGCAGGGGACACCCCTGACACTTCTTTTTTTTCTTCAGGGCCTTGGTTCTGTCATGTCCCCACTGACACATTTCATGTTTGCTCCGTCATCAAGTCTACCATTGCGGCTCCGGTGTTGCAATGCAATTCTTTGGGCCAGCCCAGGCAGACGAGATGTGTACTCAGCAAGATCTGGACGACTAGCCGCTTAGCATAACCAAGACAAGCCACCAAATCACGCCACTTCGATGTGATGTTAGTGCCCTGCAGCCTAGAGAGCTAGTTAGCTTGCTGAAGGCCTTGACGTTGATGAGACACACCAACACACGACATTTGTTTGGCCCAATGTTAGACGCTGACTTAGTTGCGCAAGACACGGTATTCCTTGCGAGGATATGCCCTCAACCGCCCCGGATTTGACTCGCCCCAGGTCTCTCTGCCTCTGCCTCTGAGCGCCCGTGCGGAGGTGATTTTTACTGGGTCAGGCTGGACAGGAATGCACTGCAAAAGAAATACCACCAGTAGCGCTTCGTGCTATACCCAAAACTGGCTTGTTTGCTCACGACTAAGTGGACAGGCATAGATGAGGCGGACAGAACTGGATGATACTGCCATATCTTCGAAAAGTGAAGCGTGCATGACTAACTATCGTGCCCATCAGCCCTGTTCAAACTGTTGGTTTGTCTTGACCGGTTGGTGTACCTGGTACCTAGTTGAAGAAATGGCTCGAGCCTAAAGGTCCAAGCGAGCAATGACACAGATTCACCGGATAATCCACGAATCGCAATCTGTATACAAGGTAGGCATGGTATAGGACTTTGTCGGTACGATAAAAGATGCATTGGGTATTGTCGAGTGCTTTTGGTGTTGTTGAAATGGGGCTCGTTGCTTGATATTCGACAAGGGTCTTGAGTTAGCCCGTGATGTGGGTTACGTTAGTGTGGACTAATCTGAGCTGATTTGCATCCGGAGCATAAATTTACTGGAGACTCGATCAAGGGTTCATTACCTATTTAGTCCGTTTGGTGTTAGCAGCCTTTCACAATCACCAAGTTTGGTGATATGTTGGTCGTTCTCGATTTCATTCTCAGGTCTATACTATAGCCATCCTGGGCTATAGTATCATGTCCGACAGCTCTTTGAACTACGTAGTCCTCTCTCTGTCTCCGCTTTGAGGCATTATACTATGTACGCGTACACTAGTCTTTGGATATAATGAGTCAAGGAACCGCCCGGGGAACCGGAGTGGCATATTCTTCCTTCAATAGTGATAGTGCTGCTGCAAACTCGTGCATCGTAAGATATTACTAAGGTGATTTGCAAGGAGTATATGCATAATCCCGCACCTGTAGCATTGACGTTTTCTGTCTGGTCATTGTTCTAGATAGAATTTGCGGGTCATCTTCTGTCACAAGTGCACACAGTACCTCCACAGCAGCCAATCTACTAACTAATGCTTATGGAGTTGTGAACCCTGGCTCGCTTGGACTCTGTGACAGCTCGGATCTTATGATCTCTTGATCATCGTTATCCGACCATTGCAACCTTTCGGATGTACGTCCTAACGCGGGTTGTCACTGTAAATCCCGTCCTGTCAATGTTTTGAAAGTCTCCATGTTGTTCAGCGTTGCATCGCGTGGATAATGCATTCGAAGGGAGCTATCGGTATTGGTAAGGTAATAATGGAATGAGCCGATTGCTTCTTGCCTTACGTACCTACCTAGGTAGTCCCTGCCCGCGAAACCTCCTCCGCACTTTCCATCACTGTCCGTGGGCCGTAGCTCCTTCTTTCCTACCTAACCTTTACCTAATTCAGCATCTTAGGCAGACGTTGGAGTCAGTCAACTTTTCTCTCCTACAACCAACCAACCTCGAACAGACTGCAACAAACAGCCCGCACAGATGCAGCCTCTATGCACGAGCACACGCCTTGACTCATGTCATTTAAATAAGTCTCTCTTTGCACGACTCGTCGAAATGCACGCAAAAGGCGCCAAGTCTTGATCAAGGATACCACCTTGTTTGCAGAGGATGTACAGTATGCTAGGTGATGGTGGCTGTTTGCCCAGTCCCAGTGCACTTCCGACGGACCAATTCCTATTGGATCTTGACATCTGCGCTGCCCACGATATACCCGAATCGAGACATTTGGGACAAAGAACCGATATCGTACTACGATATCCATCATATTCTTCGACAAAAATCTGATAGTACTTTTGCTGCAGTTGATTCAAACCACTGTTCATGCGAAGCTGCTATTGGCCTTCCTCTTTTATCTACCTATGTGACCGAGTCTTGCTTCACATCTCTCCTTTCATGCGCTCACACTAGAACAGGGTTCTTTTGTCGCCGCCATGGACACACTTTCAGAGAATGATCAATCTCCAACATTCACCGACCGGTCAAACCCACCAACAGTAGTCCGCCGCTATATCGATCTACCTATGGGCTTTGTTGCCGCGAAAGTTCATGACACAAGAGATGGCAGCGTCATCTCGATCTTGGCGATCCCAGATAGCCGGGTTTTCGAATTCGCACCATGCCAGGAACTGTTTGTATTTACATATGGAACTGATCAACAGTCCAAGAAGTCTCACCCGAGAAACGAAAACTTGATTTTGAGGTGAGATCCCAGTGTTGTATGACACTTAAGGTATCTGTCAGTACCGCTGAATCAACGATCCGTGCTTCGATACGTCGACAACCCACAATAATACTTCTCCGGCTACTGGCCATTGGAAAAGCAGAGGCGCTCTAGGCGCCTTTGGCATACACGTACTGTTTGCGGGGATCATGAGAGGCCTCCGCTTGGTTACAATGCCGATGAACCGGATATATGGACATGTTTGATCCAACCTGACCCGCAGACGGCAGCTCATCCACACACCGGCCAGCCAAGATATGCTTTTTTATCAAGTGATATCCACCGTCCACGTTTTTTGATATGTTCGGTGTGGGATTGGAAGAGATCTGTTGGTCCGACAGAAACCACTTGGTTTCAAAGCGTAATGATCGGCGCTCCTAAATCTTGAGCAGTCCACATTTCACGACGTGCTGGCTTTGGCTGACCAAACCACCACTTGTCGCTGATTCACGCAACAGCAGCCTGAATTGGAGATTCGACGCTTTTTGGGGTCAACGTTTCTTCAGAGAGTTAGTCTCTCCACAAGAAGCAGGCATCTTCCCAGTTGCAGAGCCAATGGTAACATGGGGTATCATTCAGTGCTTATTCCGTGCCTCGGTCAAGCAGGCCATGGCACTGGAGATGTTTGATTTGTGAAAGCCGATGACGCCGAGCAGTTTACTTCTCTTGGTGCTGAGCGACGGCCTATTCCCATGGTATTCTATATCAAAGGTTCCTAATCCTACTTCGCAATTTGTTGTGTCTCAGAGCATCCTTGACTTTCTGATTAGCCTGTTGGAAAAGTGGTTGGATCGACCAAAATAGGTGGACCAAACTGGGACGGCAGTCTTGTGTCACGGCAGATCAATTGACGAGTTGTGCTCTGGCAGCATGAAAGATGCTCCCTAATCTAGCACCGTAAGTACTTTGCAACTTCTGCCTCTCCTCTTGAAACCTCTATTTAAGAATGATTTGGAATAACAAAAACCTACGTCATAAGCACTTTTTAGCTGTTGAACATTATGGACCCCTTTTTAATTGAAGACGTCACAGAAATCAGCTTACCCTGTAGTTCTGTACCACTACTCGATGTTGCCATCGAGCACGTGATCAGTCCGTGAGATGACATCTCCACGACTACCGAAAGAGGCAAGTCAGCACTTTTGGGTGAGATCCATAAAAACTGACGCCAACATGTTGCACTCAAGTCAATCTCACTCTCTCAGAATCGCGATCACATCCGGTTTCGAGTGCGCCAAGACCCTCCAACGCGAAAGTGCAGAGGAGATATCGTCGTCATCAACTTCAATGCGCCTTGATCCTTGTTCTTAGTCGCAGAGATACCACCCTCCATCCAGCTCAATCGCGAGCTCGCCAGAGATATAGGCACACCCAGACGCCCCCCATTGCACGACACAATGACGGCAGAATCACCAAAGACTCAAAGTCCTACCTCTGCCTCTGCCTCTGCATCGCGCGATGACTGGGATGACTCTGAGGCTGGACCGTTGCTTGCGCGTTTCGTTGGCGGGGGTCAACTTGCCCCTGATGCCGACACCGAAGCCTCAACTCTCATCGGGACCGCGTCGCCTGCTGATTACGGAGCTGTGACTTCCTCTGGCGATGGAACGGCGGAGGAAGCGGGTGTTGCGAAGCCGGAGGGCAAACCGCTGCCGAAACTCCAGGTGTTGCTGCTCTGCTACGCGCGCGTGATGGAACCGATTGCCTTCTTCTCCATCTTTCCCTTCATTGCGCAGATGGTCCAGGAGAATGGCAACCTACCCAAGAGTGATGTTGGCTTTTACAGCGGCCTTATCGAATCGCTTTTCTCGGCTACCCAGATGACAGTGCTTCTTAGCTGGAGTCGGCTCGCTGACCGTATTGGCCGGAAGCCTGTTCTTCTCATCACGCTCTTTGGTACGGCTGTTGGGCCTGTGTTATTCGGCATGTCAAAGACGATCTGGCAGATGATCCTTTTCCGATGCATAGCGGGTCTGTTTTCTGGCTCTGGTCTCGTTATCAGGACTATGCTCTCTGAGCTCAGCACCCCTGAGACACAGGCCAAGGCCTTCAGCTGGTTCGCATTTGGTGGAAACATCGGAATCTTCCTGGGCCCTATCATCGGCGGTGCCCTCGCAGACCCAGCTCATCAGTTTCCACGAGCGTTTGGAAATGTCCAGTTCTTCATCGACTATCCCTACGCGCTGCAAGGTATTGTTGTTGGTCTGATCAGCTCTACAAGCTGCATCACAACTGCTCTCCTTCTCAAAGAGACACTTCATGAACCGAAAAAGTCTCGCCATGAAGAGAATGGCGAGCCTCGAATGTCAACTTGGGAACTCGTCAAGTCCCGCCAAGTGGCTCTCGTTCTCTGGGCTTATAGCCACGCTATGTTCCTTGCCTTTGTGTTCACGGCCATTCTTCCTGTCGTTCTTTACACACCAATTGAGCTTGGAGGCACAGGATTTAACGCGTTCCAGATCTCCATCTACATGGCCATCCAAGGTGCCAGCCAAGCCATCTGGTTGCTCATCGCCTTCCCCATACTTCATCGACATCTAGGTACACGCGGAGTCATGAAAATCTGCGGATACGCGTACCCCTGGTTCTTCGTTGGATTCATAATTCTCAACACGCTCCTCCGCGCTGACACGCACGCTACCACGGTTATCTTCTGGATCTTAGGCGCGGTGGTAACCGTCGTCGGACCAGGCGTGTCCATGGCCTTTACAGGCGTGCAGCTAGCTCTCAACGACGTTGCGCCAGACCCCCACTTCTTGGGCACGTTGAATGCGCTGGCCCTGAGTCTTGCAAGTGGTATAAGAGCCATTGTACCAGGTGCCGCAACGGCCATTTATGCCGTGGGTGTTCGTGGGCAGATCTTCTGGGGCCATCTGGCCTGGGCGATAATGATTCCCTGTGCTGTGGGCTTTACTGTGGCTTGTCAGTATATACCCGAGGGGAAGAAGTCTTCAAAGGATGATAACGAAGACGAGGAGAATGAATCCTGAAAGGATAGGGATGTGTTATTGGAGATAGCATACGATAAGGTTAATGGTATACATCGAGCATAGCGATTAAGATTTGTGATCAGCGTAAATTGTAATATTTGACGCATAGCGTTTTGTTTCATGCATTTACACATGAGTGTTTTAAGTTGTGATTGTCTTTTTTGCAAACAAGAGAAAGACTCTACTCTCCAGTGAAGATAATTAAGTGGACATGGAATCATCCATCGTGGATCGTTGGGCCAAGCATCTTTCATAGCATCGAATGATAAAGTAAGTCACTGAATTCATGTTTACTGCCAAATAGTATTTTATTGTTTATCGTCACCTCACAAGCTTCACACGGGACACAAACTTATACTTAAAGTAATAAAATGGATATTTGAAACCGAAACTAATCCAGACCTGACGCCTCATACACATTCCGTTCTCTGTCTAACCTCCTTCATTTCTAACTGTCTTGATGACATGACATAAAACCATGGTAGCATAAATCGCCAGTAAAAAAACACAGGGAATTATTCCCATTTCATAAAACCTCCTCGATATGTCCTTCTCTCCTTTACTGCTGGAGGTACTTGAGAATCTGCTCCCGCTCCTCAACGGGCATGACTCTGAGCACCTCACGAACACCAGTCCATCCAGCCTTAGCATGGCCACGGACAACGCTTGCAACCTCAGCTGCCAACACCTCAGACTTGAGCGTCTCGACCTTCTCGCTGATGGTCTTGCGCTCAGTCTCGTACCACTCAGTAACTGCCTGATCATTCTTCTCCCAGTCAACAATGCCTGACCAGCTGCGGAGGAGGTGCAGGTATCTGTCGCGAGTCTCCGTGTTCTTGGTAGCAGTCTGGCTGTGCGAAGTGCTGATGATGGTGGAAGTCATGCGGCGGAGGATGTACTCCTCGTTGAGACGTCGGCGAAGACGCCAGTAGAAAAAGCGTCGAGCGTTGGTCCACTCAAGAACATCACGGACGACACCCTTGGCCTTCATGCGACCAGCGCGGTCGTGGAGATCAGCGAACTGCACAGCAATCTGGGCGTACACGGGGAGCAGCTGCTTCTCACGGATGGCCATCTTCTTCTTAATCTCGTCGGCCTCCTCCGTGGACAAGCTAGAATCCTCGAGCTGCTTCTTGAGACCAGCATAGGTAGGATCCATGCGGGACATGGTCTGGACCTGCTTGTCCTTGCGGTACTTGATACCAATGATACCGTCAGGCTCAAGAACACCACCTCGGGCCTCGGTATCGGCGTACATCTCCATAGCAGTGGAGTTGATGGTAGGATCGACGACGACCCAAGATCCACCACGGAGCTCACCGAAGGGAGGAATGTAGATGAAGATGGGCTGCTCGTACTTGACGAGGGCATCGACGATGAAAGAACCGTACTTGAGAACCTCGTTGTACATGTCGCGCTGACCACCAGAGAAACCACGCCAGTTGGCAAGGATCATAAGAGGAAGCTGCTCACCATTGTTGAAGTCGTTGATAGCCTGGGCAGTCTTGAAAGCGGAGTTGGGGTACCAGACACCACCGGCCTCGTTGCTAACCTGCTCGATAGAGTCAGGGTTGGCAGGGTCAGCAGGAGTGATGTTCTCCACAGATCGGACCTCGACAGCGATAACACCCATAGGGATACCACCAAGACGAGCACGACCAACAACAACAGTCTTGGCCCAGCCACCGAGAGCCTCAACGAAAGAGTCCTTATCGAAGAGACCAGACTCGAAACCGTTCTCGCCCTCGCGACCACCGATCATCCATCGGACATCATAAGGCTGCTTCTGGGGAGGGAAGTAGGTAATGTCACGGTTCCAGTCATCAACGCTAGGGCTGACAGGGACAGGGCTGTTGCGCTTCTCGGGGACGAATGACATCCACTCGACGATCTTGGAGACACCAGCAAAGTCATCGTTGGCAGTCATGTGAGAGACACCATTGCGGTACATGATCTGAGTGCCACCAAGCTGAAGGTTAGAGGTGTAGACCTCGCGACCAAGCAGGTTGTTGAGGGCAGGGGCACCAGTCAAGATGATGGGTTGTCCCTCAATCTGGACAGCACGCTGACCAAGACGGACGAGGTAAGCACCAATACCAACGGATCGGCAAGTGACAAGAGTGACGGTGAAGATGTCGTTGTAGGCGCGGCTGGTGGCACCAGCAATGAGACCAGAGCCTCGCAGACACTCAACACCGAGACCATCCTCCTTACCAATGATGGTGACGATCTTGTGTCGCTTCTCACCATCCTCGGAGACCTCCTCAGTGATGACGTCCTTCTCGAAGCGAGTCTTGGTCTCGTCATCGAGGTAGAGGTACTTGAAGCCAGAATCCTGCTTCTCGGGATTGTTCCAAGCAACCTTGAAGTGGCCCATGAGCTCATCAGCAAGGCCAAGACGAGCACCAGAGTTAGCAGAGAGGTAGATACGGGGGATACCCAGCTTGCGAGCGAGCTCAGTGCACTTGTGGAAGAAGTCATCTTCCTTAGGACCGAATGAACCAATCTTGTAGGTGATATCGTTGGCAATGACAATGAAGCGACGGCCGTTGGGGTACTCAGGGGTGCGAGCCCTGAAGATCCAACCGACCATACCACAGGTGTTGGTACCAGGCTCGCGGTTGACCTCATCAAGGCTATCCTTGTCATCGAGAACAAGCTCAGTGAAGCTGATGCAGGCGCCGGTCTTAGGCTGCTGGGAAGCCAGGCTAGGCTGAGCCTTGACGGCCTTGACCCAGGTGTTCTGGATGGCCTGTCGGAAGAGCTCGGGGAAATCGTAGACGTACTGAGTTCCCATAAGATGGGCCTTGTAACGCTTGGGCTGGAGCCAGTTCTTGGTGGCATAGGGGGTAGAAACAGGCATCAAATGCATAGGACCCTTCTCATGGGTACCACCAATGCTGTGGAAAACCCACTCACCCTTCTCCGACTTGCGCTCGGCGTACATGTCGACATCGACAACGTAACCAGAGGTGTTAATGATGACAACACGAAGAGGATAAGGCTCGCCAGTCTGGGGGTCGGTGCAGATGATGCGGATCTCGACCTGGGCGATACGGAGTCTCCAAGCACGGATACCGAATCGGTCAAGGAAGCCCTGAAGACTCTCCTCGACCTCCTTGGGCTGAAGCTGGAACACAGGAGAGAAATTGATAAAGACCTGGTTCAGATCAGAGTTGTTGTTGCCGATAATTTCGAGAGCATCGAAGATATCGTTGACAACGCGATCAGCCTCAGAGATGAGATACTCGGCAGTAGGGATCTCGTCTCGGAGACGACCGGGTCGAATGACAGCACGGGTGAAGTATCGCTTATCAGTGTCCACGTTCTTGCCAATACCCTCGTAAACGTGGATACTCTTGTTCTCAGTGAAAACGGGCTTAATGTGGAACTTGCTGAGACGAGCAAGCTCAAGCTGGAAAGCAAGAGCAGGCTCGCTGTGACGAATACTGTCATCTTCCTTGTACTCGGGTCCACGGAAGGTGTAGTAACCAGGGTAAGAACCATCGCTGTGACCGCAGATGAATGTCAGGCGACGGACGCCACGAGCAAGGAGCTCATCCTTGAACTGCTCGACGATAGGGAGAATGTCCTCGAGGGCCTCACGGTCATCGCGGCTCTCGAGATCGCGGATGGCGACGTTGATAACAGCGGAGAGCTCCTCCTCGTGCTGCTTGGGCTGGGCAGGCTTGCGCTTACCGCTGAGGTCGGGGATGAGACCGGGAGTTCCGGGGGTGTTCTTCTTCTTCTTCTTCTGCTCAAGGGCAAGGGCCTCAAGAGCTTTGGCAATGAGGTCCTCTGCATCATCAATGTACTTGCAAGGAACAATGACACCCTTTCGTGTAGGCTCGTCCTCCCACTTGCCAGTAAGATAAGACATATCACTGATCGAGTGGATTCGCTTAAAGTTGAACTCGCCTCCGCTAGGGGTAGCAGGAGTAGAAGGAGCAGCAGACTGCAGAGGAAGACCGAACTCAGACTGTCCAAGCTTTCGAAGCTGGAAGTCCCAGGAAACGAACTGGGGAGCATCGTTCTCATCCTGGTGGTACTCAATTTTCTTGAGGATGTACGCACGGTAAGCTCGGCGAACATAGACCTCAAGAGAGGCCAGGGATACCCAAGGATCATCGTGAGCGAAGAACATGGTCAAGACATCGAAAACGGTGTACTTGGAATCAACAACCTCCTTGATGATTTCAAGGCTAGGCTCTCGGTGATCCCAACCAGTCTCACCGTATCGCGACTCGATGACGGAGGACCGGAGAATGTGCTCCATCTGAGCGGTTCGCTCCTCGAGTGAGGGAAGAGCACACTGGATCATGATCTCACGAGCCTTGAGGGAAACCTTGGAGGTAGGACGCGACTGGAGCTCAGTGAGCAGGCGGAGAGTCTCGCGAAGGTTCTTGGCGATGCTTCCAGCCTTAGGCTTGTTGGGGCGGTACTCCTCAAGGATGGCCAGGATAAGAGAGCTCTTTGAGCTGACACGGCTGTGAGAGAGAACAGTGTGAACAACTTTCATGATGTCCTCCTTGTGCTGGTCACGAAGCTGAAGAACGACAGCATCCTCCTGAGGCTGGTTCATGAAGAGGTTCTCAACCTCCCAATACTGCTCAAGAAGACCCTTAATGACGCTAAGCTCTCGGTTCTTCTGGCCCTCGGCGTACATGTCGAGAACCTCAGTAAGAGGGGAGAGAGTGCTCTTGAGAAGGTCGGCATCACCAGCATCAACATTGTCCTCGAGGAACTTGTTGAAAGCCTTGGTAAGGGCCTTGGCGGGGAACTCTCCATGGCGAGACTTGCTGCGCTCAACGATCTGAGTGAACTGAGCGTCGAGCTTCTGAGGCATACGAGAGTGGAGAGCAGAGAACTGGGCGTTCCACTCGCTGTAAGGCAACTCGGGATCGCGGAGAACCTCAATGAGGTCCTTCAGGGTGTTGGACATGATGACAGAGTTGTCATAACCCAGGAGAATGTTATGGAGGATGTTGTAGAGGAGAGAG